TTGTTATATGACTCATAACCAAAGATTTATTATTATTATTTTTTTACAAAAGTGAATAAAATAGAAAATACTGAAAATAAAACAGAGTTTGAGTTTTAAGACGGGCTCATAGTAAACGTTATGATGATTATACAACCAAACACTGAACTTTTACAACATCAGTTATATCTATGTACCACACGGGGATACACTTTTAGTTTATTTCTATGTTTTTATTGGCTTGTTGCCTTTTTCTTTTGTAGTTACTAAGATGGAAATGGGCTTTTTGCACTGAATAATATTAGGCCAAGTGTCAAACAAAAAGTTTGATGTCTTCCAAAAGATATTACTTTCTCTTAAAAAATACTGTAGTACAAGAAATAAATTGTTTGTTTCAATTAATTTTGTCTGGACTTGATCTAAATTAAAAGTAAAAATTTGAATTGAAAAATGTTTAACATTCATATTTAGCATCTCATTATACCTGATATCTGTATTACAGGTCTCTCATAAGATCACCTGTCTTGATGAGATTACCTGACTAAATAAAAGTAAAATAAGCAAACACTGATTGTAAGTGTGCTGTTTACACATTGGAGCTGATGAAACACCTGCTGGTGTATTTGACAGTGTTTATCTGACACCAGAAGACCTTTCAAAGCACACGTATTATGACCTTTTGGCTTTACATACAAGTAGCCAGTTCTCAGTGAACTTTTCCACCTGAGCTGCTTTAAAACAAACAGACAGGTGTTGAAGCTCCTTTGTGTCGTCTGATCAAACAGTTCTTGCTTTGTTTTGGTGTGGAGTGCTTTATGCAGCATCTTTCAATATTGTTTTTCTGTCATGGAAGTTAATCTCCTGAGGTTATAGTGTCCTTAACCTGTTCAATGCGCAGGACTTTGACAATGTGACTGTTTGGTACAAATGCATAAACTGTTGCATCCATGCTGAACAAATGGAGCAAATGTGGTTGTTCCCCTTTTTATAACTGTGATTTAGTGCTGAGTAACAGAGATGTCATAGCATAGTGCAAAAGTCAATCTGAAATTCAGTTTATTGTTGATTGTGGACTATAAAAAGTAATAAGAACAATCAGAAAATGTTCAAGTTTATTTACTGGGATGGATGGATGGATGGATGGATGGATGGATGGATGGATGGATGGATGGATGGATGGATGGATGGATGGATGGCAGACAGGTCACAGCTCTGTTTTCTCCACAGGTGCTTTCAGGAGCCACAACTAAGCCAGGATTCTGTGCTTTCTATGAGGAGTGTGGTAGAAACCCTACCGTCGGAGGTACCCTCATTCCTCCTATTGTCCCATGTCTGGATCCCAGCCCCGCCCGACACCTCACAGGGGAGCACTACAAGAAGTTCAAAGAGGTTTGTTAATATGATTGAATCCTAATGAACTTGTTTAATTGATCAAATATTCTTTTGACTAAATGTAATTTGTTCTTGCTGCAGGTGTGTCCCATGTTAGACCAGGGTGAGACAAACACGTACGCCTGCTGCTCCATCAAGCAGCTCTCATCTCTGGAGAAGAGCCTGGGCTTGTCCAAAAACGTGCTGGTCCGATGTCCTTCCTGCGTGGAAAACTTTGCCCATCTGCACTGCATCAACACCTGCAGCCCCAACCAGACGCAGTCGGTAAAGGTCATGAAGGTCATGAACATCACTAACCTGGGCGTTACGAAGGAGGGGGTGGTGGCCTACCAATCCTTCATCAGCACCACATTTGCAGAGACCGCCTTCCAGTCCTGTAAGAATGTCAGAATCCCAGCCACAGGAGGCTTCGCCATCTCCACCATGTGCGGTCGGTACGGTGCCAAGCTTTGCACCGCCCAGCGCTGGTACGACTTCCAAGGTGACTCCAGTAATGGCTTGGCTCCACTGGACATTGATTTTCAACTAAAAAAGGAAGGCGACACTTCAGGGGTGCCCGAAGGGGTGATTCCGTACAACGGACGAGCTCTGAAGTGTAACGAGACGACGCCAACGGGTGGTGAGGTCTGCTCCTGTCAGGACTGCGAAGAGTCCTGCCCGAGTGTGCCACCTCTTGACCCGCCTCCAGCACCCTTCAAACTGTTTGGGGTGGATGGATACCTTGTGATTTCCATCATCTTACTCTGCCTCCTGGTACTGGGATTCATGTTCTACCTTATTGTCTCCTGTGTGGTGAAGTCTAAAACCAGAAAGGACGAGGAGGGAGGGAAGAAGAAAGGTAAAAACAAGGATCAGAACAGTAATGACGTGACTCAGCGCATCATTCATGAATCCGAGGTGTCCTGTGCTGACAGGAACAGCTTGGCTGCCCAAGCTTTCATGAGCTTACAGTTCCAGCGTTGGGGAACATTTATGGCCTCTTATCCCCTCACGGTAAGCCCGTTCAGAAGAGTAAAACAGTGATAAAACACTCCACATATTCTTGCTAGAAAAATATTCTCAGAAAGCTTTTAGTTCTGAAACACCATTTGATCTCTATTCAAGGTTCTCTTGGTCGCGGCTGTTATTGTGGTCATTTTCTCTGCTGGCCTCAAGTCTATCAAGCTCACTACTGACCCAGTTGAGCTCTGGTCTGCTCCCAACAGCAGGGCCCGCCAGGAGAAAGACTTCCACGACACACACTTTACCCCCTTCTTTCGGACAAACCAGCTGATCTTGACAGCACCAGAGCGACAAGGTCACATTTACGACTCTTTGCTGTTTGGGCAGCAGAACTTCAGCGGGCTCGTATCTAAAGATCTCATTATTGAGCTGCTGGAACTCCAGACAAAAATACAGGTAAAGAAAATATAAACAGACTGTTTGTAAAAAATAAAAATTAAAAAGCACTGTGTTCTTTTGATTTATTGTTGCGTCCATTTTGCCCTTTTGTAGAAAATTGAGTTTTTTTCAGAGGATTTGAACCAAACAGTAACTCTGAAGGATGTGTGTTATGCGCCACTGAATCCTTCCAACCCGTCCCTGACCGACTGTGCTGTAAACAGCCTGCCACAGTACTTCCAGAACAGCCTGGACAACATCAATGCAAAAGTGAACATGACAAAGCTGGGAGTGACCAAAGAAGTTGACTGGAGAGATCACCTCATCTACTGCCTCAAGTAAGGGTCTATTTCAAAGAACATCCATTACTTTTCCACAAACTTACTATTTAATGACACCTCCCATCTTCTGCCTCTTCTCAAGCTCTCCATTGTCGTTCAAAGACATCACAGATTTAGGAATGAGCTGCATGGCTGATTACGGAGCTCCGGTATTTTCGTTTCTGGCCGTGGGAGGCTATGAGAGTGAGTTACACCTTCGTGTTTAGACATTATTACATCAGCCTAACACAGTTCTAACTACCCTTAACTGAGTTTGTCCTGCTTTTTTTCTAGATGAGGATTACACTAATGCTGAAGCTTTCATCATGACCTTCTCCCTGAACAACTACATTCGTGATAACCCAAAGTTCAAAGTGGTGTTGCAGTGGGAGAAGGAGTTCCTCAGGGTTGTCCAGGACTACCAGAAGAATCCAGCTGCAAACTTTACCTTTGCATACATGGCAGAGGTACAGTAAGATCAGTTCTGCTTGTTGAAGATACTGGAAGTGTGGACAACTTGTCGGTCTACATTTTGCGTCATCATTGATCTCTTTCATCTCTTCTCCTGTGTATGACCTTGTGATTGGTCTCACTCACAGAGGTCCCTAGAAGATGAGATCAATCGAACAACAGCAGAAGACATCCCCATCTTCATGATCAGCTATGCTGTGATTTTCGTTTATATTGCTGTGGCACTGGGGGAGTACAATTCATGGAAACGGATACTGGTGAGCCTCCAGAGAGTTATGTCAAATTGTATTACCAGGCAGAACTTCCCATCACACGACTTCTTTATACTGTAAAAGCTGGGACAGTCTACCACTTCAGTCCAAAGTGGTCAACCAGTATTATCTCCAGTAATCATATTTATGCTTTGGCTAAAAGGCAACATGGTGTGCCACTTGTGTGCTTCCTAAATGAAACCTACACTTGTTAAGCTGTTGCCTCATTTGTTTTTTTGTTTTTTGTTTTGACTATGAAAGCAGAAATATGTGTTCTCAGTAAGACAAGCCTTTACCAAGACCAGAGAACGATTGAAACTATGCTTATCACACACATTGATAAGTAGAAGCTACCACAGCATGTTTATGTCAGCTGTACACTTCTTATCTTGACAGTGAACATGTCCCGTAATTTTATTATCCATAAAGTTTTATACTATAGAAAAGTTGATACCATAGAAGATAGGAAGAAAAAGAATCATTGAGCTGAAGCTTTATCTATACTCTTATCTACTGTATGTCCTTTAGGTGGACTCTAAGTTTTTGGTAGGTCTGGGTGGGATCCTGGTGGTTGGTTGTTCTGTCCTGGCCTCCATGGGGTTCTACTCGTGGATCGGTATCCCGTCCTCGCTGGTCATCTTGCAGGTCGTGCCCTTCCTGGTGCTTGCAGTTGGGGCTGACAACATCTTCATCTTTGTTCTGGAGTATCAGGTGTGTCCATCTGAGCATCTGATGAACCCACCGTGTTGTATTTAGTTTCTGATTAGGATTATTCTCAATAAGGCAATAATGCTGTCCTGTCTTCTCGCAGAGGGATGCGAGGAGGTCTGGAGAGACGAGAGAGGAGCAAATCGGCCGTGTGCTCGGCCAAGTTGCTCCCAGCATGCTCCTGTGCAGTCTCTCTGAGTCCGTCTGCTTCTTTTTAGGTGGGGACGTTTGGAAACTCACAAGAAAGTTCGAGGAACGTCCACTGACTGTGTCGTCTCTGACCGTGTCTCTGTGTTGGTTTTCCAGGGGCCCTGTCCACCATGCCAGCAGTGAAGTCCTTTGCTCTGTACGCTGCTTTAGCTGTGCTCATGGACTTCATCCTTCAGATGACCGCTTTTGTGGCCCTTCTGTCCCTGGATGCTCGGCGCCAAGACAGCAACCGCTGTGAGCTGCTTTGTTGCGTTTCTGTGTCGACGCAACGTCCAAATGAGCCAAATGAGGGCTTTTTACTGCCTTTCATGAGGAAATACTACGCTCCCGTCCTGCTGCACCGCTACACCCGAGTCATAGTGGTACGACTATTAATCCAACATCTATACCAGGGCTATTCAACTAAATTGCTCCGGGGCCACAGTTACTGCAGGCCAACAGCTGAGGGGCCGAATATCCAGCAATTAAAGCCGTTATGTAAATAAACCAAGTATTACAAAGATCTGTTACCTTTTATTAGTTTACTTTGCTGCATTTAATCATGAATACAACATATAGAACCAAATGTGATAAAAGAAGTGATATTAAAACAAAATCAAAAACAGTTGACACAAATACTATTTTGATATATTTAACTTGCCACATTTTTAAACCAATTTTATTTTTACTTATCTTAATTTTATATTCTACTGCTTGTAGTTTTAAGTGTCTTGGGTTTTCATTGAAATGGTTTTTACCAGCTTTTGGCTAACATTCTGACTTTTCTGTATGCCACTTAAAGAACTTACATTAATTAAAGTAGAAAACTGAGGGTTTGGGCTTAGGAGCCAATGAACTTCATGAACCAATTTGTGGGTCAGATTTTGGTCACCAGTGGGCCTGATGTGGCCCGTGGGCCTCCAGTTGAATAGCCCTGATCTATACCATGCTCAGTCGCTCCTTATGTTGCTCCATTCCGGCATCTCTTTAGTAATAAATCCAGCAAACTCGTCTCTAGAAAAATGAAGGAACACTTACAGTAAACTGATGCTTAAACTTGATATTTATTCAGCACATCTTTCTTTGTTTTCTCTTCAGATGTTGGTTTTCATCTTCATGTTCTGCGCCTCCATTTTCCTCATGCTGAATGTGAAAGTTGGTCTAGATCAGGAGCTGGCCATGCCACAGGTCAGTAAGAGCTGCTTTATTCATGGAGAATGTATTAAAAATAAAATTCAGATCATTTTGTACACAGCCTCACAAACATTGTTCTGTTATGCTTGCAGGGATCCTACATGCTGGACTATTTTAAGTACCTGTACAAGTACTTTGAAGTTGGCGTTCCCGTTTATTTCGTGACAAAGAGGGGCTTTAACTTCAACAGCGAGGAGGGCATGAACGCAGTGTGCTCCAGCGTTGGCTGTGATCAGTTCTCAATGACACAAAAGATCCGTTACGCCACAGACCACCCTGATCGGTGAGACAACAGATTGTTTTTCACTTTTTTTTGTATCAAAACATTAAAAAATATATTTTTTTCAACTGTTTTCTTTTCTCTGTGTCCTTGAACCGGTTGATCTTGTCGTTTGGCTGACATACAAGCCAATCGGATTAGTTGATAACAAACTCAGTTGGATGAAAGCCACTGAACAGATAATTGGTGCCTGTATCTGATTGTTCCTAGCTGAGAGAACAAACCTCACTAAGATCCTCGTTACATATAAAACATATGTTCTGAGAGCATTCTTGCTTCTTAAAAAAATACTTTTTCTTCCAAACACGGACAGAAAAACCCTGTCACCATGGTCAGATGCCTCAATATTATTAAAACCTCTTGATGAACATATAAAGAAAAACAGGTTAAATATTTTGGAGACGAATGAGAAATTATGGAGGTTAACTCACTGGCAGAGCTTTTCTGAGATGGATGAATATTTTAGTGCTTTTTTTAAAATGATTTCCTCAAAAAGGCTCCTCTCTTGTTCTCTTTTATTTTCCAAATGAGTAATTAACAATATATCACTGTAATTTGCTTTGTTTTAAAGTGAAGTTGAGTAAAAAGAAACATAAAGCTGTCAGGAACCAGAAAAAGGGTGGATATGCACAAAACCCATTTTTACACCACAGCTTGTGAAAATTTTGACTTTTTCTTTATATTCTGCTGATGAGCTCAAACACATTGATTATTTCTGTTGAAAGCTGACCACAGGTGGAATTTGTGACCTTTGAGTTTATATTTCTGTTTTATCAGTCTGAGCAAACTCCTTCACGTGTATTAGTACCATGTACTCAAAATTTCAACTATATTCCGGTGTTTCAGCAAATATAATCGGATTACATACAACAAAACTCAGCAAAATGTATGTAATATGTATATAAAATAGACAAATGATCTACATTTAAATACTTTCCCGGTATTGTTGATGTGTTCAAAGCAAACATATTTGGACCATTTTGTTTATGACACAACTTTGGGTGTGACCGAAAGGATTAAAAAGGAAAACAGTGAATATAAAAAGTTTACAAATCCCTAATAAAAGACCAGGTTTTTGTGATGTAAAAAAGTGGGACCACAGTCAAATATTTCAAAACTTTCTCCAAGTTTACTGTGTCGTATAGTTGAGGTTTCTCTGCTCCAACACACCTAATTTGAATAAATAGGGGATTAACAGGCTTCTGCAGAATTTGAAGAGGTAATCAAGTCACTGAATCAGGTGTGTTGGAGCAGGGAAATAAGAAGTAGGATAGTGGATACATTGGCCAAAGGATGTTGAGCGTGGAGCTGCCTTTCACTCACTGGTGGTATTTCTGCAGATCCTATTTGGCGATTCCTGCCAACTCATGGGTGGATGACTTCATCGACTGGTTGAACCCTGGATCCAGATGTTGTCGCTTATACACCCTCGGCCCAAACACCGGACAGTTCTGCCCAGCAAACATATGTGAGAAACATTCTGCAGCCTGTGTTTTGTTTTTTGGTCATTCTGTTCATTTTAGTAACATCATTTTTCTGCCCACATGTCACGATAGCTGGTTTTCTCTGTGCACGGAAGTGTCTGAATCCTACTGCAGATGGTGTCGTCAGGCCCACTGTGGACGAATTCTACCGCTTCCTCCCAGACTTCCTGGGGAACAGGCCAGACCTGCAGTGCTCCAAAGGGTGTGTAATGCAGTGGCGCACACAAGGACAGGAACATCACAACTAGCACAGAGAGGAATGTCATTCTTTGTGGCAGCCTGGTGAATTAGTGGTTAGCACTGTTGCCTCACGGCAAGGAGCTCCTGGGTTCAACGAACCTCAAGCAAGAACCGTTTGTACGAACAGATTTGTTCTTAAGTTGTTTGTACGACTGGTGTAGGAGAACTTGTTGCATTCGCCAGTTTTCTTGTATTCTAAGATTTATTTCAGATACAAACAAAATTTACGAGTGGTCCAGACCTGTCGTATATTTTACGAGCAGTCAGTCTGTTGTTATCCAGACGGATTTTCTTCACTAATAACTATATATTTCATTAGTTTGAAGATATTTTGAGTTGAAAATAAATCACACCATAATTATGTAGATAAGAAGCTATTCTGTTTGAACTGGAATTATAACTTTAAATGTATTAATGTAGCCTAACGATATCATTTAAATTGGCTATTAACACTATTATATAACACTACAATAAAAATCCCAAGATCTTGAACTACAAATAAACTTAAATTACGCATTAATTGTAATGGCAAAACATTTTTTGACCATTTTTATATCAAACCTTTTCTTCTTTAATTAAGTGAATCATGTCAACCTTTTCAGACGTTCACCTGTGACCCTCAAAAATCCATCATTTTTGCAAAACATCCTCACAAGGAGGGGGGGCAGGAAGTATAGCCTTATATGGTATTATTAAGGCGGTAATTATGCAAATTTCCTCTCCTCGTGCACGAGCACCTGCATATGAACAGGTGGCATTCATCCTGTTCACACAGCTCATTTACACACTTTTCCTGAAGATAGAAGCATTTGCTGGATCTGACGTGGCATGTTCGTACGAACCCTTCGTACAAAAAATAGTGAGAGAAATTTAGGATGAATATACAAAAATGTTCTCGCTTGAGGCCCAATACTCCTAGTTTGGACAAGGGTTCTGTGTGGAGTTTGCTTAACCTCCTTGTGTTTATGTGGGTTTATGCATGCTTAGGCTGCATCAATGGGATTAGCCTGGTTAAATAAATAGTAAATAAATGGTCTTGTTACAGTGGTCTAGGAGCCTACGACACGTCGGTGGTGAGAGATGAAAAAGGAGAAATAATAGGTAATTATCTTGGTTATTTCCAATGAGTCCATGGTAATATATATTATTGTAGGACTGGTGCTAGTAAACCTTTCCGCCTGCTGTTGTAGCCTCCCGGTTTATGGCGTACCACACAACCCTGACTAACTCCCAGGAGTTCACCGCTGCTCTGATACGAGCCAGAGAGCTGGCAGACAACATCACCAAGAGCATGAGGAAGGTTCCAGGAACCTCACCCGACTTTGAAGTATTTCCTTACACGTATGTACCTCTGTAAAAAATGCCCCACTTCCCTGGAACTATTCGTATGAGATTTCCCGTGAAGCTCAAGCTCATTGTGTTGTTTTCTGCCTCCTCCAGGATCACTAATGTATTTTACGAGCAGTACCTGACTATCGTGCCGGAAGGCCTCTTCAACATCTCTCTGTGTCTGCTGCCGACCTTTGTGGTTTGCTGCCTGCTGCTGGGTTTGGATCTGCTCTCCGGCCTGCTCAACTTGTGCACCATCATCATGATCACTGTGGACACGGTTGGCGTCATGACATTATGGAGCATTGATTACAACGCAGTGGCTCTGATCAATCTGGTCACGGTAAGAAAGTGTCTCTCCTAGGGATTTCAGTGGCGCTGAAGGAGTTTTTATTTATTTATTTAGTTATTTTATTAATAAGAATAAAACACCGGTGTCTGCCTCGGCAGTGACCAAAGAAAGGGCTTTCCTGGAAAACAGCACAAAATGATGGTGATTGTTTTTGCACTTATAGGTCATAAACTGACTTTAGGACACAAATCTCAAAATGAACTCAAACAAAACGTCATCTGAACTGGCTGGTGGCTCGTAGAGCTGAGGAACTGCAGTCTGTTTTTTGATAATGGAGCTGTAATAATCCATGTTTTGTGGTTTAAAATGATCTCTCTGAAGAAATTAGTGCATGAAGCAGAAGGTATTCTCTCCAGCTTCCAAATGTGACTAAATGTGTCACCCTGGGATCAGCAATTCTTCAGTTAAATGAGTTACTACAATGTCTAATTTCTCTCTAGGATCAATAAAGTATTTCTGAATTGAATTTGAATTGAAGTACTAAGGTCCCTTCATTTCATTTTACATGTGAGTCTTGATTGAGAAGGAGAACTCCTAGTTTCACTAATGGAAACAAGTGCAGAAGTTAAATCAAGCGTGTCTACCAGTTGTCTGGGGAAAAAAAGGGAATAGCTTCAGAATTTCACTTCAGTTTCACTTTGATTTTTACACCATTGAGTTGTTTGACAATCATTTCCTAATCTTTGAGAAATTAAAGACCTGCAATCCTTAAAGGAAAGTATATTGCCTGCATTTGATTATATTTATTATATTTATAGGCACAAAACATTATTATCCAACTTTGCTTTTTGGCAGAGGGTGATAATAACTAAGGAGATAAACTGGTGTGTAAGAGTGTATTAAAGGACCAACCAGGGGTCAGATTTATAAAGCTTGCGTACGCACAAAACGAGCCCAGAAACTTGCGTACGCCACTTTTCACTCCAAAGTTGTGATTTATAAAATCCAAACTTGACGTGAAAATGTGCGGTGCCTCACGCCAGCTCTGACCCATGCATACGCTCATTTTGGAGACGTGAAGCTGCGACACAGATGGTGAAGTGGTGAATTAGAGCCTCACTGTGTAATGATCACTGTCAGATATTTAATTTCACATCATAATCAGACTTAGATTTTAGATAGACTTTAGCTTTCTTAACAGTATAATTTCTGCTTCTGCTGGTGAGCCATAAAGATCTTTGAAATAAAAAACTTAAATCTTAAATATAAGTTCACACATCTCCATTCATCTCCTTCCTCTTCACTACCCTGACTCACAGACCCCTCCTCGACAAGAGTCATTTCAGCGGAACACGACAGCAAAAAGCTCGGTTATAGTCAAGCTTTGGGTGCTCGCGCCCTCGCCAGTGTGGATGTGTTTTATAAATCTGATTTTTTTGGCGTACGCCATTTTCGCCTTTTGGCCATACGTTCATTTTTAGTATGGTTTCCACGCAATCTTTTATAAATCTGACCCCTGATGTTTATCCTGAGTAGTGATCACTCAGGTTTTATGATGTGTGTTGTCTGCAGGCGGTGGGCATCTCTGTGGAGTTTGTGTCCCACATGACGAGGTCCTTTGCGCTCAGCATTCAGCCCACCCATGTGGAAAGAGCCAAGGAGGCTACAGCCAAGATGGGCAGTGCAGTAAGTACACCACGAGCTTCAGAAACCAGTGACTTTGAACTTTTCAGACTAACCGTTGAGGAACAAAGACAGAGCTTCACTCTGATTAAAGCTAACAATGTAATCTACAAGGTGCATCATAAAGTAACAGAAGGACAGAGTTCAATAAGCCTCTTTTGTTCCTTAAAGGTGTTTGCTGGCGTCGCCATGACCAACCTGCCCGGCATCCTCGTGCTGGCGTTTGCTAAAGCTCAGCTCATCCAGATTTTCTTCTTCCGGTTAAATCTGGTCATCACACTTTTGGGGATGGCTCATGGACTCATATTCCTTCCCGTGTTGCTCAGTTATTTTGGTATGTACCATTTTTTGTTCAATTTTGACAATGCAACAAAGAGTTTCTTATGAAAGTGGGGACTAAATGGTGCTGGGTTCTTTTTTCTCTCCTCAGGTCCTAGTGTAAACAAAGCAGTTCTGTTTCAGCACCAGCAGGCCAAATCCAACCTGGAGATGACGAGCAAACAGAAAGAAATATACGACAACATCAGCTACGAAGATACCGAAACAAAAGAAGAGTCAAACTCGCGCATCAAAAACGCCCCCGCTGACCCCAAGGAACCCTCACAAGTTGTAGAAAAGCAGGGAAGAACTGATAGTTTATGAGCATCGACCACAAAAAAACTGCTTACCAGCTCTGATGAGTAAAAACACCTTTGTCACATAGAGAGCGAGAACAAACACAGACACAGAGCAAACAAGGAGTTGTGTTTTTGGCTTCAAATAGCAATCATTAACCCAACGTACCTCAATCAGAAATGGACTTGTGGGATAGATGATAACAACACACAGTTGCGCAGTATTTCTGGGAATAATGCAACAACGGGCTACTGCAATGGCAACCGACAAGATGGATCTTGAATTTGCCATTTTCTATCTATTTTGTATTAAAATGCAATTATTTTGCGTGTGAAAATATTATTACTGTTTAGAGAGCTTTAAAGGAACACTCCAGCATTTCATAGTTTCTTCAAATGTGCTCTGACGCTATAGCTAAAATGCTAGCGAAAATGTTGAATCAGAAAAGAATGTTTAAAGTGTTAAATGTTTGTATCAAAGCGACTTTGCCATGAAGATTTTATCATGGCGGCTAATTAGACGTTACAAATGTAATGCAGAAATTTACCAGGCTCGAGTGTGTTTCTAATTTATTTTTTTTCAAACATTTTTTATGTATTTGCTGACTCCAAACCTGCAAGGGTTTACTTCCACAGCAGTCATTGCACATTATTTAGTACCTTTAAAAAAAGGTATTGCAGACAGCTTTATACTTTTGCAATGTAAATGCAAACCTTTTGAAAACGGAGGTCTTTAAAGGGTAAAAGTAAAATAAAAATGGTCTGAGAGAAAAAAAAACACTTTAAATTGCCATGTCTTTGAGTTATTATTTTTTAAATAATCATATTTTACTAAAACCATCTTGGCTCTCAATCTGGGGATGGAACCAGGGGGAGGCCATGATCACCATAGAAAAATCTTTGGCCACCCCAACCGCCACTTTGCCAACAACATTTTTGCAAAGCCATTTCTATACAAATGTTCAGTTTCAATGCACTGCTCAAATAGATAATTCTTATGATGTAACTACATGGTATGTCTATAAGTAAATGAGAGAATGACCTAGAAACAGAATTAGATTCTCAGCATTTTGCATTTAGGGGAAAAAAATTACATTCTCGAAGCCACCACTGTGTGACCAATTGTCCCAGTCCCCTACAAAAATTGTCTGGTTTGTCTCTAGTCTTCATATTTGATCTCAAAGGTGTGACTAAGGGCTGTGTTCTTGGGCCAGTTTAATTTATTTTACATTCTAACAAACTTAAACTGAGAAGTACTGAATGCAAATTTAAACTTTTATGCTGATGAGACCATGATTTATTCTGTTGAGTTTATGCCTTATCAAATAATTTAGCTAGTTTTTTTTAAATATTTTGTCTACAAATTTGCATTTGAACAAAACTGTAAAGGAAGTTACTGCATCTGTTCACAAGGATCATTCCTACTGGCTGAATCTCACATTTAGGATTGCTTTTTTTTTCAGATCTGAAAAAACTGGCATCCTTTCTCTGCAAAGGGAAACCATAAGCCAGATGTGAATTACCGTCAGTGTTTTTAAAAAAAGGCTGCACCATGTATGAGGTGCCATAAATGTTTTTAAAAAATGCCTGCCAAATTAGATGATCATAAAAGCGTGAAAAGCTACACCACTATAAATAAATGACCTTACGTTTTAGAAAAGGTGCCCGTCTAAAAATATATAGCATAGGAAATGTTAGAAAACAAGTAAAGTAAGATGATTTGATTTTGGATTGTTTCTGGATTGTTGAAATAACTCAAGTGTAAAGAGAGATATCTTATATTTTTCTATGTCTATCATTTTACTGGCTTTTGTATTTTGGTCAGGCCTGAATTTCTAGATCAAGAGTTTTACCAAACATAAATTCATCATCTTTTCCCAAAAAGTGCTTTAAAAAACAGGATTGCTGCAACAGGTGTTTTGTGTGTGTGAGCATCACTTCAGAGCTGATACAACAGTACAAGAATCATGTTTCACAAATACTCCTACCTCTAAGATGCAAATACTTTAAGATCTACAGTCCTCTGAAGTTCATGAAACTCACACACGTTGCAGTTTATGAAGTCTAAATGAAGATCATAATAATCCAAAATAAGATTCAGTGATTCGTTTATTTCAGTCCTGCAGAATCGTTCTGGAGAAAACCTGTCTGATGCCAGGTCAAACTGCCTTAATTACTGATACTACCCTCTGACTCTGATGAGCTGTGACAAATGAGCTGATAAGAGATTATCTTTACAACAAACGTTTCATGATGCCAGACTTTGGCAACATCTCAATCTTAGGTGATATTAATTTAATAAACCTGTGGGATAAATCTTGTGCCAGCAGGAATTGAATTTGAATTGCTCAGATTGAATCGTGCATAATTTGAAATTGAATGCATTAGTTTGAAAATAAATGACACTAAATTGAAACTGAATTTAATGATTTGAAACTAAATTTAAAGTTTTGAATTTGAACTAATTTGCTTTGAAACTGTATTTTGTTTTATTAAAAATTCATCTTGACTACTTTCACTTTCAGTTCCATAATTCAGATTTTTGTCACATCCTGGTCCTTGAGAAAGCCAGCCAGAATAATCAAACACAGATCCACAGATTTACATTTCACTTTGGTGAAGCTTCCCTTAAAGAGTTGATACAATCCACCGTAAAAGTGACAAAAACAAAGTTATTTTATTGCAGTGATGAATTTTATGTATAGAAAATGTTACATTTACATCATGGATCAGTCATCAGCAGCATCTGATCAATACAGGTGCTGGTCATAAAATTAGAATATCATGAAAAAGTAGATTTATTTCAGTAATTCCATTTAAAAAGTGAAACTTGTATATTATATTCATACATTACATACAAACTCATATATTTCAAATGTTTATTTCGTTTAATTTTGATGATTACAAATGACAACAAATGAAAATCTCAAATTCAGCATATCAGAAAATTAGAATCTTGTGAAAAGGTTCAAAATGGATGGCACCTGGTACCACACTCTAATCAGCTAATTAACTCAAACCACCTGCAAAGGCCTTTAAATGGTCTTTCAGTCTAGTTCTATAGGCTACACAATCATGGGGAAGACTGCTGACTTGACAGTTGTCCAAAAGACGACCATCGACACCTTGCACAAGGAGGGCAAGACACAAAAGGTCATCGCTAAAGAGGCTGGCTGTTCACAGAGCTCTGTGTCCAAGCACATTAATAGAGAGGCGAAGGGAAGGAAAAGATGTGGTCGAAAAAAATGTACAAGCAAGAGAGATAACCGCACCCTGGAGAGGATTGTGAAACAAAACCCATTCAAAAATGTGGGGGAGATTCACAAAGAGTGGACTGCAGCTGGAGTGAGTGCTTCAGGAACCACCACACACAGACGTWTGAAAGACATGGGTTTCTGCTGTCGCATTCCTTGTGTCAAGCCACTCTTGAACCACAGACAGCGTCAGAAGCGTCTTGCCTGGGCTACAGAGAAACAGGACTGGACTGCTGGTGAGTGGTCCAAAGTCATGTTCTCTGATGAAAGTAAATTTTGCATTTCCTTTGGAAATCAAGGTCCCAGAGTCTGGAGGAAAAGAAGAGAGGCACTTCATCCACGTTGCTTGAAGTCCAGTGTAAAGTTTCCACAGTCAGTGATGGTTTGGGGTGCCATGTCATCTGCTGGTGTTGGTCCATTGTGTTTTCTGAGGTCCAGGGTCAACGCAGCCACATACCAGGAAGTTTTAGAGCACTTCATGCTTCCTGCTGCTGACCAACTTTTTGGAGATGCAGATTTCATTTTCCAACAGGACTTGGCACCTGCACACAGTGCCAAAGCTACCAGTACCTGGTTGAAGGACCATGGTATCCCTGTTCTTAATTGGCCAGCAAACTCTCCTGACCTTAACCCCACAGAAAATCTATGGGGTATTGTGAAGAAGAAGATGCAATACACCAGACCCAACAATTCAGAAGAGCTAAAAGCCACTATTAGAGCAACCTGGGCTATCATAACACCTGAGCAGTGCCACAGACTGATCGACTCCATGCCACGCCGCATTGCTGCAGTAATACAGGCCAAAGGAGCCCCAACTAAATACTGAGTGCTGTACATGCTCATACTTTTCATGTTCATACTTTTCAGTTGGCCAACATTTCTATAAATCCTTTGTTTTTATTGGTCTTCAGTAATATTCTAATTTTCTGATATGCTGAATTTGAGATTTTCATTTGTTGTCATTTGTAATCATCAAAATTAAACGAAATAAACATTTGAAATATATGAGTTTGTATGTAATTTATGAATATAATATACAAGTTTCACTTTTTAAATGGAATTACTGAAATAAATCTACTTTTTCATGATATTCTAATTTTATGACCAGCACCTGTATGTGATCCATGATGGGATGTAAATATAACATTTTCTATAGGTAAAACTAATCACTGCAACAAAAAAATGTCAATTTTACGGTGGATTGCATCAACTCTGTTACATACAGAAGGGAAACTTCACCAAAGTGAAATGTAAATCTGTGGATCTGTGTTTGATCACTCTGGCTGGCTTTCTCAAGGACCAGGATGTGTGACACAAAAATCCAATACACCTAGCTGCAGTTTGCAGTACCCGATTTTGGAACTGAAAGTGAAAGTAGTCAAACTGAATTCTTAATAAACCAAAATTCAGTTTCAAAACATTAAATTTAGTAAAATTAATTTTCAAATCAATGCATTCAATTTCAAATTATGCATTTTCAGATTCAATCTGAGCAATTCAAATTCAATTCCTGCTGGCACAAGATTTATCCCATAAAAATCCCTCAAGCCTTTCGTTTTGACTTCTTGTTTTTCTCACGACAACGGAGCAATCGATGAGGGCATCTTTTAAAAACAAGAAATCGATTCAAGTGTTTCCAATTTTGTTTTTATTAACAATGCATCCCTTTGATAGGATTGTATGTTTCTTTAGGTCATAAATGCCCCCAAAAACATACTGTACACATTATACAAGGGAAACCACAATTCAGGCAAAAACAAAGAACAAAAACAAAAACAAAAAAAGGAAAAAAATTAAATTATTATACAGTCTTGAGGAAAAATATAAATAACTTTTTCTTCTTCTCTGGTTGAGCTCACTGTGGTACAGACAATAAATAGATCGGGTCTGACATCACTCAGCAGATCTATGAATCACCTCTACGAGTCYATTTGTGTAGCAGCATTATAGCAAAAACAAACCTTTTACATATCCTTTAGTCATAGCACTGCACCGCTCTCCTCCTCCTCACCAAATGACACATAGTGATATATTGCATTGTGGAAACAGATCCTGGGATAACTACAGTCCTACAAGGTATGGCAGCATGTGATGGCATCCTATTAAAAAAAAAAGGGTTTTCAAAGCCAGAAATACGGCAGGGTGGCGTCACAACTTTGCCATGCTTGTTGAACATGCGGTAAAGGTGAAGTGCAGAGGTAAGAAGGCATTGTGAAAAGAAGCTGCGAGGTTCACGGAAAAGTGTGTGCGCTGTTTGGTGCTAGAAATGTCATCAACCATTCGAAATATAACTTACACAAGTGAGAGTCTTTCAAAGACCACCTTCATGAGGCCTAGCAGAAATGCAACGGCTGAAGAAAAAAACATTAAAAAGGTCCTAAGCAAGTAAAGGATGGAATAAACTATCATTAACTTACATGCTATGCTTCTTATCTATGGAGTAGAGAGGTGGTCGATATAATGCTTTAGAAAATACAACATTAGTGATGTTTGATTGTCTGTAATAGAGGAAATAGAAAGGTAATGAGTGGATAAGAGGCTAAAAGTTGTAAGAGGTGGTGAGGAAAGAGACGCAAAAGCACATATCTGGCTAAAACGGAGTGGGACAAGAACCAGGGAGGTTCGAGTTAAGAGTTAAAACAGCAGGATCCTTCTGTAGTGTTTTGTTGAAGAAAAGGTCTGAGGAACCTCGAGTCGTTCGGACAACGTGCCTAATTCATTCCATGACAGAAAATCACCTCATCTGTAAAATAACATAATGCGTGGTTTTAAAACAAGATGAGAATTCGTCCTAATGATCCAACTTGTCCTTTAGCATTATTTTTAATATATAACTGAGTGTTGCTCGAGATTCCCAACCTCACGTGAGAACAGAATTCATCTAAACTGCTCCCTGTGGTTTTGTCTTGGTCAATTTGTTTTGCAGAAACAGATGTCTTTTTTTGTTTCCAGCTCATATTTGCTCAAAGAACGTTCGGGTGACGACCGTCTTCTTTTTCCTTGGCGGCGATACTTTTGTTTGAAGCAGAATAGGAACACGCCCCAAATCTTTCCTGTCCTTGGAGCCCCAGTCTCTGCCTTCTGTCCATGATTGTTAGGAGCCGGGACTGAAGCAGTGCACAGAACAGGGTGGGGCGCGGGGAGGATCAGGACTCTGCTGGGGGGTTAACGTCCTCCTCGGCCGGTTTTGGTAGCTTCGTCAGCATCACCTCGGCTTCTTCGTACATCTGAGACAGGGACGGGAAAACAGTGAAATACCCAACAAAAACAAGAGTCTTGATTTTTAAAAGATAGAGAGAGGATTGAGTTCTTACTGGCATGAACTGAACGTCCTGGAAGAGCTCCTGTATGAAGCGTCTTGAGGTCAGGCGAAACATACAGTGGGCTAAGAGGTGAGAAACCTCGGAGTACAGGCATATGTCATCAAACGCATATGGAAACTTTTCTTTTATCCTGAAGCAAAGACAAAAACACTTTTCAGACACACTAAACCACTAACAAGTAAAACATATCAATCTTCTTGTAATTATGCAAAGTTCTGCAGGGAAATGTTATGTTGGCTGCTGAGAGGTTAAGATCGAGGGGGAGGAGCTTACGTCAGTAGTCCTGTTTCGTGGCCTTTGGTTCCTACAGAGGAGCTGAGATTGATGATGAGGCGGAGAATCTCCTTCCTCAGCAAGACCCGAGAGGCGGGGCCGTCCTCAGATATCGCCTTGCCACCTAGAGAACCCAACAAATTCCATTTCTTTATTCATTATTCCTCATAAATACTACGACAGCGTATTAGGGCCACATGAGATTTAAAAAAAAAATTAAATTACGAGATTAAAGTCATAATATTATGGGATTAAACTAATATTAAAATAAAGTCATAATATTATGAGAATAAAGTCGTAATATGAGAATAAAGTCATAATATGAGAATAAAGTCGTAATATTATGAGAATAAAGTCGTAATATTATGAGAATAAAGTCATAATATTATGAGAATAAAGTCATAATATTACAAGAAGTCATAATATGAGAATAAAGTCATAATATTATGAGAATAAAGTCATAATATTATGAGAATAAAGTCATAATGAGACTAAAGTCATAATATTACGAGATTAAACTAATATTAAAATAAAGTCATAATATGAGAATAAAGTTGTAATATGAGAATAATGTCATAATATGAGAATAAAGTCATAATATTATGAGAATAAAGACATAATATTATGAGAATAAAGTCGTAATGAGAATAAAGTCGTAATATGAGAATAAAGTCGTAATATTATGAGAATAAAGTCGTAATATTATGAGAATAAAGTCGTAATATTATGAGAATAAAGTCGTAATATTATGAGAATAAAGTCGTAATATGAGAATAAAGTTGTAATATTATGAGAGTCATAATATTACGAGAAAAAGTCAATATTCTAGCCTTTACATGAAAAAACATGCAGTTATCACTGCATTAAAATGAGGAATGTTGAGCAACTAGTCAAGCTGTTCTTTAGTTTTGCTTAAAATAAATATTAATCTTTTAGCACATTAGCATCAAATTATCAGTAGCAGGACTTGGAAATTGTGCAAACGACTACTAAAGCTGTATTGTACTTAATGGATGCATTGACAGATTTAGTCGTCACGTAGCTAATTTGGATGAAAGCATACTAATCTAACAGTGACCCAAGTCATCATGGACTACTTTATAAACACAGACACATGGCTGTACACAGGTGTGGAAAATAAGGAGGAAGTGAGGAACAGAAAATGGACACGTCATGTAAGATTATGACTTTTTTTCTCGTAATATTATGACTTTTATCTCGTAATAATAATAATAATTAAAAAAAATCTTGTTGTGTGGCCCTAATACTCCGTTGTATAAGTACATCTTTTTGTCCAGTCAAGGTAAATAATTTGCTGCACTTTTATTCTTTTTGTGGATTAGTCGTTTGAACAGCAGATTCTTCTGGCAGGAAACTGATTCTGAAGTTGTGTAAAAATATTTTGCTGGTACTGTGAACAGTAGAAGATGATATTATTTAAAGCCTTCCAAATCTTCCACTGACAAACTTTATTCTGAAATCGATCCACTTTTTTAGTCACAGTTTCTCATAGACTGGTGATCCTTTGCCCATCTTTACTTCAAAGAGAGTCTGTGTCTCTAGCTTTTTTCTAACTAACCAGTCCTCTTACCAATCTGCTCCCAATTTACCTAATTAGTTGTAAAATGCCCTTTCAGACATTTATTATTCAAACTATTATCATGTACAGTTTATTGTTGCCCTGTCATCATTTTGAGATGTGTTGTTGCCATTAACTTCAAAATGTGTTTACCATGTTCCATTGTGAATAAACTGTGTTTATGAGTTAGTGCATTCTCATTGTGTGTATTTACACATTGTCCTGATGCATCTCAGTAATCCAGGTAGAAAAAAATCAAAAAGAAAAAATAAGTCCACCCAGAGGACCTACTTATTTTTCTTTTTGTATTTACACATTGTAGCGTCAGAGCTCTTACCAATGACAATGTCACTGGGTGTGGGCGTGCTGCAAACCGAGCCCTGCGACACGGCAGCATCGCTGCAGCCTGACACCCCGGAGAACTTGGACTGGGGCATCACCTCCAGACGATGACCGCTCTGTCCTCCCCATGATGGGAAGTCAACATAATCTGCTGAACAAAAGTATTCCCGTCTCGTCATTCTGTAGTGAGATCAAAGCAGGCCCGTGTGAGACAATGTCCCCTCACCTGTGCGAGAGTGTGTGCTGTTGATCTGTGGCTTTGTGGGATATCCCAGAACGATGGCTCCCACGCAGTACAGGCAGTTTTCTTCAGTGTGATCCTGCAGGCCCGTCTCCTCTGAGCCCACTATGTGGTTAGGGGTCTCGCCTCGACACACGATCAGCTCAGAGATACTGAACTGCTGCTTCAGTAACGGGACAGCAGGCCGATCTCCTGGAGAGGCAAAACAAACATTTTTATTTCAAATTCATTCCTACGTGCTCAGTTAACCAGGTAAGAAGTAGCTTTTTACCATCTCCGTCACCAAAGAGGAAGCGTTTCCGCTCCTCTGAGGGCGGGCTGATCCTCTGCTGAAAGTAGGTCGAGTCCCTAATGTGGAACATATCGTTGATGTTCACAGGCAGCGCCAGGCCAACGTAGTCGTCGCTGCAGCCGAAGGTGGCACTGGAGACCATCGAGCGCACTGAGGAGCAGCGGTGCAGGGTGCTTTGGTTGATGGGGCTGAGCAGCTCCTCTTTATCCAGAGAGGCAAAGCTGAGAGCTTTCAGGAATCTAGGCAGGGCAAGAGGAGAGGTGCGTGAGAGGATCCGGGGAGAGAGACTGGGAGAGAGTAGGAACATGGTGGATAAAACCACAGGAGACGGGGACTTGTTAAACTCAGCAGCTTCACACACAACAATCACCAACAGGGAGGTAAATATTTTAAAAAGGTTTCATATTTCTCCATGTTTTCTGAGGAATTTAATTATATTAGGTGGGAATGAGGTTCTGTAGTTGGACAACTTGTCTTCTGTGCTGTGACCTTCTACACTCCTCTCCTTGTTTTTAAATGCAATTATAGTCAAATGAACTGAAATCATGCAAACAAACCTTGACCTATAGTCACCAAATGGGGACTAAATATAAAAACATAGCGGTCTACATGGACACTACAGGTCAAAAACACTGCAGGCACTGAGCTGCTGCTCTAATAAAAGGAACAATCAGAACTAGAAGGTGTGTCTCTACTGAGGAGGACACTGGGCAGGTCCACCCACCGCGGTACAAGAGTTCTGGACAGCCTGCGGTATGGACTTGGGACCGTAGGTTCTGGACAGGTGCGCCTCCTATCTGATAGCCTGATAAAGTATAAAGTGCACAAATACACACTCTCACATCTGTCAAGGCCACAGCAGAATAATAAAAAAAAAACCCACTAATATAACAGCTAAGGCTACATTAAAGCAGGAAAAATGTCAGCTTGTTTGGAGATTAGTGAAAACTCAACGTCCCCATTACACAAAAACAATCATTACACAAAAACAATCACTACACAAAAAACAATCATTATAAGAAAATAACCGCTCATTTAGTGCTGGTCGACCCACCTGCGAGGGGTTAACCTGGAGTCCAGGCTGCCGGTCTTCATGGTGATGGTGTCTGTAAACAGCACGTCTTTGGCAGGCGAGGCCAGCGCCTCACTGTGGGACAAAGACGGGTGTATCCTCTGCTGCTGCAGCCTCTTCAGCGTGGCGTAGCCCAGCGCGTCCCTCGGGCTGGTGTACATGAAGCTGCAGTCGGCCAGGCTCTTAATGGTGGTCACGGAGGGGGATTTGAGGGACTGAGCTCGGCGGGGGAGCGTGTGCGAGGAGCCCGGCGGTACCAGAGAGACGGCGGAGGACTTGGACGTGGACATGTGGTTAGTCTGAGCCTGGGGGCTGAGGGGGGAGAGGGTTTTGACAGTTCTGGCAGACACAACGGTGTTGAGGCTCACGCAGTCGGCGGAGTCCAGCTCAGGCTGCTCGGGGTTCCCCACGGTTTCCCGGGAGGGGCTGGAGCTCATGGAGCTGATGCCGCTGGTCGTGGTGTCCGTGTTAAAGCTCTGACTGCGGCTTTTAAACTGCGTACCCCCGCCGCTCCCTCCCACGTTGACTCCGCCGGAGGAGGAGCCTCCGTCTCCTGCCAGACGCTCTCGGCTGCTCTGCTCCCTCTCCCGGATATGCTGCTCCACGGCCCCGTGTCCGCCTAGACCGCTGAGCCCGAGGCCTGAGCCTCCCCCACCCTTCACCAGCCTGCCGTCCACAAGCTGCTCCTCAGAGCCCCCCCTGGTCCCAACAAAAGACGTCTCTAGGCTAACCGTTGGACTTCTTGGCATTCCTCTGCCATTGAACACCGAGATGAAGACGTCCCCCTGGTTCGGGCTGTAAATGGACGGCTCCGTCACCGTCCTGTTCCGTCTCAGGCTGTCGGTCTTCACCTCAGTGGGGGTGTGGCAGCCAGAGATGGCCTTAGGATCACTAGTAGAGCGTATTTTCTTGCTGGGGAGGGACAGCGAGTTGAGGAAGCGGGGGCGAACAAAACGCGAAGACGATATGAACGTGAAGGGGCTGCGATCTTTGATGGTTTTGGAGTGTGTGTAGTAATCAGAGTCCAGAATGTCACACTTTTCATCGTCCAGGATGTACACGTCTGAAAACAAACAAACAAAAAAAAGGGTATTGGAAATGAAGCAGGGGTTGAAAGTTAAATAGCAGATGTGTAAAAAAAAAAAAAAAGTGCATTTTGAAAGTAATCTAAACATTTTCACTTTTTAATTAAAATATTTCTAACGGGGGATTGTCTCTGATCTAAAGGCTGTTTATTTCATGTCAGTGGAGCAAAACACCAGAAAGCAGCTTCTCCTGATTGGGTAACGGTACAAGGTTCAGGTCTGAACAGGAAGCCAGTCAGAGATCTTAGAACAGGTGCAGCATTTTGAATTAGCTGAAGTCTGTGAAGCCTGTAAAACATTATTATAGACCAACTTCAATTAACTTTTCAGTCTGGTTTTACTACAAACCTTTTAACTTTCAAAATGTTTCTCAAATAATTAAAAACAATGTCAGTAATAAGATTAATATAACTTATAATATCAATGTGTATTATTACATTAAAGTGTTGTGCTCCACTCAGAAATACACAATGATGGTGGTCAGAGACTTAACAGCAGAGTTATGATTGTTAACGAAAACTAAATAAATAACGAAAATTGAAATTGAATTTTTTTTTTAATTAACTAAAATAAATAAAAACTGTAATAAAATTTAAAAAAACGATAACTAACTAAAACTGTATAATCTTTTTACAAAACTAACTAAAACTAACTGAAACTATAGTTAAAATATCTTTAGTTTTACAGGGTTCGTGCAGGTTTCATTAAGACCTTTTAAGACCATTAGGAATGACATTTAAGACCAAATCGTTGCATTAACAGAAACAAATGGTCCCAGAAATTTTAAAATAGAAACCTTTTATTGCTATCAATTTAGCTATTAAAGAATATTTAATTTTAATACAACACTAAATAATAATAATAATAATAATAATAATAATTTATGCCACAAAATTAACACTAAATTATTTTAATTAAACGGTCATATCTATGAGACCTTCTTCTCAACTGCTGTGGACCGCTTCCAACCGAATGCAAAAATCACTGATATCAAGCAAAGTCTCATTGAAAACACACTTTCCCATGTTTAAACCACAAGCAGTGGACATGACTGAACTTTGTTTTTTTGGAGGGTGAACAAGTCGTCATATGCAGGGGGTTGTAGCAGCAAAGAGGCTGAAAACATTGAAGCAAACTGTGCCATCTTTTGCCTGTAGTTATGACAGGACTTGTGGTTTCATGCACACAAAGACTGGTAGAAAACTTAGCCCTTCATGAACACAGATCGCGTCACTCTCTAACTATGGCTCTTTACTCTGTTTATTTATGCAACCAACACTTCTTGGGAATGATAGAAAGTAAAAAGAATTAAGACTTGACAAAACAAAATTTAAGTCCTTGGATGAAAATCTGGGTGTTTTTAAGATGTTTTTAGGCCTAAAATTTTGATTTTCAAACTTTAGACTTTTTTTTAGACTTTTAAGACCCTGCATGAACCCTGGTTTTAGGGTTTGTCCATTTATTTTGAGACGTGGATCTTTGAACAAGCAACAGGTAGCACCAGGTTGGAGACAACTATTGTCATCCTAAAATAATTGCCCAAGTTTTTAGTTGGCAAAATTGAGTTACACTGTTATTTTAGGAAGGTGTCGCTATGATGGACTGCTTTAACTAGCGAAGAAATAGCTGTTGGTTAGTTAACTCACAGGAACATCACAAGCTTGATGCATTGGCAAATATGTTTATTCAAACTAAAAAAAAAACTAAAAGAACTAATTACTAAAGTAAACTAAAACTAAGCATTAAAATGCAATAATAACTAATAAAAACTAGCAAATCCACTGTAAAAACTAATTAAAACTAACTGAATTAAAAGAAAAAATGTCACAACGAAATAAAACTAAACTATAATGAAAAATCCAAAACTATTATAACCTTGCTTGACAGAAGTTTTGTTCAAATAAATATCTTCATTAGTAGTATTAAGTAAGATTAAGTCAGTCTAGAAATATTATATGATACATACTTGGTTGAGACTCGCTTTCACTGTTGTGGCGGGAGCTGGTGGACTCAGAGTTCAGACTGAGCGTGCTCGGTACTGAAGACAGCTCAGAGGTGGGCTGCGTGTCGACCTCGTCCGGAGTGACGGGCCACAGTGTCCGGCGACTGTGTCTGACCGCATCCCAGCTGTACTGCTTGAGCACCTCACAGCCCTGTTTGGTCTTGGAAATCACACCAAGGACATAAACACAGGTCCTGCGGAGAGGAGAGGAAATCATATTAGACTCGCTGCTGTGAACCACGTGCGGGTGAATAAAAGTGAAAATCGGCTCACCCACGCACTGACAGCACCTCGCAGTGCTGAGCCAATGTCAGGATGTCAGGGAGCACATTCTCCTCTTGCAGGAGATTCAGTCCCCAGTTAGAAGAGCCAATGTTGCCCTGAAAGCAAAACAACACACAATCAGTAACTACATACGCACTAAAGGATGAACTGATGGCTTTTAATTAAACAGCTTCGCAGACCAGAGCCCAGAGAGCAGCCTTCAGCTGTTTAATGCCCTCCCAGGTGTCCAGCATCGGGAAGCGGACCATGTAGCTGAGGTCTGGAACTATATTCTTCAAGAAAAATTATAAAACAGACATTAGAAAACCTGCCTGCCAGAGAAATTAAATATGGGTGAAAAACAGAGATCTGGGGATTACCTGAGACTCCAACAGATGACAGCCGGTTTTATCATGAACCAGCTGACCGTACAAGTGCACAGGTAAATACACATTTGGTCTTTGTAACCTGGAGAAACAGCCCCAACAAATACGATTGATAAATAAATAAATAAATAAATAAATAAATAAATAAATAAATAAATAAATAAATAAATAAATAAATAAACAAACAAACTGAAACCGCAGACTGCCAGAAGCTAACCGATTCGGACGTCTCACCTTTGGTTGCTGCGTCTGACGTAGTTGTCCCCATCGACGGGTTTGCGGTACGTTGTTAGCGCTTCGTTGAGCTGCTCCTCTATCAGATCCACATATTTCAGGTTGTACTCCTGCAATTCAGATAAACAATCCAACATAAACTTCTGTTAGTATTTGCTTTTGTTGTAGCTTATTTAAAAGAAACAAATAAGCAAAAATAAATAAATTAGAACCTTGTGCCATTTATCCAGCTGTTTGCTGACATAACCCCTCTCATTGAGGTAGGAGAAACCTTTGGGAATGGACAGGAACCTAAACAGAAAGAAGGAATATAAAAAGGAGTAAAAGGCAGGTAGACAGATTTAAAAACCTACACACTGAGTAGGTTATAGCTACTATAGGTTTTGTTCTGGTAAGAAAAACACACCTGAGGAGCAGCAGGAGGCCTTTGTCTCCCAGGTGGGACACAGCTGGTTTCAGCTGAATCAGAGCATGAAGGTTGGCCTGAGAAGCAGCAATAGTTACACAACAACTACACAACTTGGTATAATCACATTTCAGCAAAGATATCAATTAACAAAACTAGAAAAAAACAACTCAAGATTTCAGAGAGTTCTCACTTGAATCCCAA